TTTAATGAAACTGTTTCATGTATTTCTCTAAAATTAAAATAATGAAGATGATAATATCCATGATTAACACCCTCCACAATAAAAATGGTTAATCAACCTCTCATAATTACAAAAAAATGAACAAAATAAAAATTATTATTGGTTGAATGAGGTTTTCACGGTTTTTACAAATTGAATGATTTTTATTTGAACGCTCCCCATTATATATATATATATATATATATATATATATCGTCTACATTAATGGTTAACAGGATGTTCTTCTATTTTTTATTTTTTTACGGTTTTCCCCTATACCAGACTCTCTCTCTCCCCCTCTATCTCTCTCCCTCTCCCCCTCTATCCCTCTCAGACACATATATATATGGCAAAATACATGAAATAACAACCTACTTTCATATATAAATTTTCTTATTATATCATTGTACTTTCATTTTTTTATTATTACAACAATGTACATTCAAATTATTTACTAAGACATTGTACTTTGAAAATTTTACTTGTTATAGCATTGAGTAACCTTTTGATTTACATTTACCCATTATACCAGGTTTCCATGCCACCTAACTGTCAACGTAAGCTGTTCACTATCCTATACCGCTGACATGACATTTTTTATTACAAGATTGTACTTTCAAAATTATTTTATTATTGCATCACTAGTTCCTATTACAACATATTTTATTATTTAGATTTTGTATATTTAATTAAACATGTTTACCTAAATTTAATAACCATTTCTAATCCTAAATTTTGATTAAAAATTTAGTCTCCTAAAATCGAGATTACAACAATAGGTAACCTTTTGATTTGAATTAAGATGACATGGCACAAGTTACTAAGGGGGCGTTTGGTTTACAGAATGAAATTCGATGGAATTGTAACTCATCAAAAGAATTCGACTCTTAGGGAATTGGAATAAATTTGATGGAATTTGACCACCCCTTTTGGTTGTGTTTGGTTGGATGGAATTCGAATGAAATTCTTAAAGGAATTGAAATATTTTTGTTTGGTTCACATAATTCAACTTTAGAATTGGAATTAAATATCAACAAATGACCTTTTATGATTTTTCTATCATTTTTCTGTAAAATTAAAATTACCATTGAATATGTTAAATTATTTAAATTAAATATCATTTATTACATAAAATCAACGTAAAATTGTGCAAACTAAATAACCATATCCGATAAAATCTGAAACTGTTCATTACGTACATTATATTACTATTTACTAACATTTGAAGTTGATCACTACAAATTACTAAGATCCAATAAAATCTGAAATTGTCAACTACATACCTTATATCCAAAACCTAAATTAGAGTTTTCAAATCATAACCAAAATCAACTTTCTAGCACAAACCTCACTCATTCCTCTCGCTCCCTTTCTTCCAAACTCCAATCATTTGTAGTATGGACATATCGTGTTCTTTCAAACAGGCCAGCAACTTTTCTTCACTCTTCTCTACTTTGGCTTCAAGCTCCTTTTTCTACCTCTCCATCTTTGCCATCCAAATGGCATCTCTTTCCTTTAATCTATTTAAAAAGGGTCTCTTGGTTCTTCTCCAATTCCTTTACCTAATATATAAAAGAATTAGTGACAAGGTTGGGTTGTGGTGCTGATGTAGGTTCTGGTCTTGGGACCTTCCTTATTTTGGTGGAAGTGCCACCAGTAGCAGGAGTGGTTGTTGCAACAGTCATAACCTATGCTGCAACAATGGCAGTCGTCTTCATTGCTATTTGTATATTCTTTTTCACTCTTTTGATTGTCTGCACTTTAAGGACAGTGGGCAAATTTGTACCTTTTCCCTTGTTAGCAATGCATGTAATAAGGATGGGTGCCAAAGATATCCCTTACTCTTCTCTATATAAGACTTGATACTTTTACGGATGACCTCCCCTACACTGAACCTTTTTCCAATCATGATGTAGTAAAGGATCACCATTCTTTCAAATATCAAGGTAGTGCCATGGGTGGTTGGTTGGAGAGTGTATCTAAGGAAATAGAACAATGCTTAAAATAGGAAGAAGGTCCCTACTGTTTAAGTATCTAAAAGCCTTATTCTTCCATGTTTTGCCAGGTTGTCTAAGTGTCAAAAGCACTTTCCTGGCATCCTTATCTGTGGCATTGGTTACCAACTAATTATACTCACAAGGGGTCGGTGGAATGATACCAAAAATATTGTCAAAGATGGCAGGAGCATAACACATATCAATGCCCATGACCCTTACTGTATGGCCCTTGGATATGACAACCTCTGCATAGAATTCCCTTACAAGGGAGAGGTTGAATCCAGTAGGTACAACACAAAATATTTCTCATCCAAGCTTGGTGATGGCTTCTTGGATGAATCGGAATTCCTTTAAACTTTCAGGGCTAAAGCCCTTATCTACCAAAGCTTCTTTAGAAGCCATATTACCAAAGTGGTCATATGCTTCTCTACAAATAAAAGTCCCAAAGGAGACATTGATTCTCCTGGACTTGTTTTGATTTGGTTAAGGTGATACTCCTTTCTTGCCTTTGGCAACCTTCTTTCTTAGAGTTTGAATCTTTTATGCAACTATAGCCTCACTATCTTCAGTTTCTGCAGCCATCTATTTACTATTTACAGCCACATCCTCATCTTGAGAATCATCATCCTCAGAGATCATGTCCTCTTCTTCTTCAAAATCAGAATAATTCACTATTCTCTTTCCTTTCCCTCCTTCAGCATTATCATTTTTGGTGGTACTGCTCACCACATCCACAACCTCTTCTTCCCTCTCTATGGGCTGTGATTGGCCAACC